GTGTTATTATTAAAGTGAAAGGACACAAACATCTTGAAAGGCAACCTTGACGCTGCGCAGTTCCAAAGAGGATGGGATTCACCATTGTAAAGATGGGCTCACTGTACTTAAAATTAATTCATCTGCCCAAGATCTCCTTCCTCTTTTGGTGTTGTGAAATTCAGAGGTTCCACTACATATCCCAGAGCTGGAGTGGGCATGGCTGCGTACATCTTGGAGCGTGGCGGTTGCTACGCTTCGAGTAGAAAATTACCGTCTTGGGCCAAATGCAACCATGTCTTTGTCAGGCACAGGATAGGATGACAGATTGTCCTATATAAAAAATATCCTGCGAAAAACGCGTCTTACGCGGTTCCAGGTGAAGTAGGTAGTCGCGCCCACACCATCTTCGGGATACGGAGTGTAGAAAGGCACAGCTCCTAAGGCTGTTCTATTGCAGATCGATGAGGTTCTGACATTATGTGAGAAGGTAGTAGATGGCTTTCTGGTAGATGAAGAGGTGGTTTCTGCGGTGCAGCTAAGTGAATCTGGCACGCTTTTTGGAGGGCGCATCACCATTGGAGATGTTGCTTTGTGGAGCCTACTAGAGAAGAATCCATCAGTAAGTCTTCTGGAACTTTTCAAAGTACTCAGTTGGTTTGCTAAAAAAATGGCTTTCATCCAGTTGCAAAAGAAATTCTCCGCGTTGTTCGATGCTATTGTTGGGGACCAACGGTTTTTCGCAGCTCATGCAATGGTTGGGAAGTTTGTCGATGCAAAGGTCGTGAAGGTAACCAACAATTACCATTTAGTAATCAGTCATGACATCATTGTTGCGTCGCATTTCATGAGAAGGTTTGTTTCATTTTTCAGCCGGCTGCGAAGGAGAAACAACGAGACGAGGGCAAATTCGTTGAGTTGCCGGGAGCTGAAAAAGGAAAGGTGGTGGTGCGATTCCCACCAGAGGCTAGCGGGTATGAAGTGTTCCTTTTATCAAATTGTTGCAGTATTGGGAAGAATGCTTTGGATGCCTCTTGATAATTGTTGTTTGGGCTCCCCAAATAAGCCCCTGGTGCCTTATAAAGCTCCATTTCCTGTGATGGCTCCGAAGAAGGCGGTTTTCGCCCAATCCTTTAGATGAATGAAAATATTTATCGATCTCAGGACAAATAGCA